AAATGTCTAGGAGGAATTATTTTTGTATGAAGTTTTGAGTCTGTGTGCTAATGGCATTCAGACCTCAGCTACTATTAAACTCACCAATGGGTTGCAAATGTGCATTCATTCATACTCCAGAGTGTGTCCACTCACTATAGAAGAAAACTTCAGGATTGAAAACCTTTTTTTTTGTTGTTGTTTAAACCTTTTCTATGCGTTTGAATAGCATGCTGAAACATCCTGTAGGCTGCAGATGAGGAATAATAGGTGATCTTAACTTTCAGTGGAAGAAGGGGAACGCTAACTTACACACTTTTCAATAAGCTATGTCCCGACTAATTTATACTTAATTGTGCTCACAAATAATATCTCAATCTCATTAGGTGTATCTGTTCTTATGTTTAATACAAAACCAAGACTGAAGGATATGCAGCTTAGGCAAGGTGATACTATGTTCAGCCCAATCTATTGTTTGGTAAAATTTAGTCTGTTCAGGTTCCATGAAAAATACAATCATTGATATGTGACAATTAAAGACCGCTTTTATTCTTTAGAATGCTGATCTTGGTGGGTTTATTCCCAACTGATATGCAAAATGTAGGCCAGAATATTTTTGCACCATCTCTATGTTGGTGGTTTGCCAAGGGTACGTTAAATAGTTGTGGTTTGCCAGGGGTACATTAATTGGGAATTTGCAGATAAGATTAATCTACAGTAAGGAATTCGACACTAGCGGGTTGCATATGTCAAAGTATTTTTCACTATGCCTAATATTTAAAATTAACACTGAATGTCTTGAAAATACTTTTACAGGTTGACCCTACAGGGTTATGAAGCCATCATAGTCTTCAATGCACTTGAAGTGGAATTATTCCGCTTCGAATATAGCTTTTCCTGGAATTGTTCCTTTTTGAGGTTTGAAATATTGAGCAATACCAAAAATTAAATCTATTTCAATAAATAAATGACACTCAAGCAACTTTCAATCATTCTACCAACTTTCATACTACTTTAGAACTAGCACTCATTTGTTAACTATTCAAATGCACTTTTCTGTTATCTTGCCAAAATTACCAACATGACAGGTAATCATATATATTATATATGATCACTCCCGTATAAAACATTACTAAAAATTGTTAAGAACAAATTTTCACCATTCAATTCCAAACTAGATTGTATATGCCCAAAGTAAGATGTAATGCCCACCATTCTCTGCTTGAGCAAACCAATTACTGAAGTCACAATAAAAACCCAGAACTTTCTTTTGGAGTGCTTTCAACCACCGAGTTAATCTTTACTTCCAGAGTTATTTAGATGCCATAGATATTGTGCTATTTGTCTTTATGGGACAGCTCACATTCCTGTTTAATATATTGTTCCCATCCTTTTCATGAGAGGCTGCATCAGTGGTTGAGCACTGTGTATTGCATATAACATTGCAAAATACTAGTTTTAGCTCTTTGGAAATTCACAGCTGATCATGTGCATAGTATTTACTTGCATTGCAGATGCTTAGTAAGTTGTTTTTTTTTTTTTTTTTTGTGGGAACTATAGTGAGAGTATTTACTTTTGCTACTATGCCATGACCAGGAATGAGTCCTCAAATTATTATTTTAGTGAAGGAAACTCCCCCAAAACTATTTTATTTAAAAAAAAAAAAAAATTTTGATAGCATGTTAAACCAATTTTAGAATGATTCATCTTGATGGATAAGTATAAATAGCTCTGCTCTACCATATAGAACTAAGTCACTTTCTATAGTTTTTGGTTCATTGTATGTTTACTTGTATATCTTTGCACATGCATCCATACATCATCTTTTGTTCTTTTCTTTTTGTGTAGTGTGTTCTATTAACAAACGTGCGCACACAGCTGACTAGAGATGTTTTAGAAAAAGTAAATTTCTGCTCCTTTGTCTTTTCCACATGGGAAGTATCACTCGGTCTCGTAGAGTCTTGAATTTTTTTAATTTTATTTTAAGGACCCCTTAGAAATAAACTGAAAGATTTTATTGCTTAGAAATAAGAACTCCTAACTTAAGTAAGGATCGCCTTGCTCAGCAGTATATTATGACCTGTCCTTGAAGATAAAAATGACAATTTCTTTTGTTACATAATACTTAACTGGTTGATTAAGCACAGTGTATTTGCCCTAGGTGAGGGCAGCATGCAACTATTGACTGTATTATTTGCATGCTGCTCATGACAACAGTAGCGCAACAACTGCTAGTGCACCCTGTATTTTCCTGTTCGGCACTAGCACCTTATTCAATTTTAATTTTTTATTTTTTTTTAATGCTAAATATTGAGTGTTTTCTCTATTTCAAAACTCCACTCTGTGCTTCAGAAGTAACAGTGTGTTAAACAGTCAGTCATGTCCTGAAATCGGTTTAAGTAGTGTGACTTGAGTGGGATTTTGGTTTGCTTTCATCTTGGCACAAACGTTTTCTAACCATTAAAACAGTGAAACTTTTTCATGGTTTCTGGTCTTATGAGTTTTTCTATTATGGAATTCCGCCTGGCATCAGATTGTATTTCTAAGTTTGCAATGGTATTAACATTATCCTTTCCATTTAACACATGTTTAATGTTTCCTTTGTAGTACAAAAAAAGTTTATTTCTGAACGATGTTACTGTAAGACTTATTTCATTATTTCTTCTCTTTTTCTCCACTCGTGACTTACAAGAAATGCGTTTTAAAAAAAAAAAAAAAAAGTTGCTCTGCCTTTTGAAGGGACAGCTGTTGACATAATGTCCAAGATAATCTGCATACTAAATTAGGTGGATATCCTACTAACCATACTCTTGGATGGAAACTAACAAAAGCGCAACTTGGACCACTCATATATTAGTCACTAGAAATTCAAGATTCATATACTATTTGTGCGTTTAACATCAAGCTTTAACAAATATATAAAAAAGACTTTGGGAAGATGTGGAAAAGCTATTCTCCATTTTATTTTAGAAGTTTTAACTATTTGCATTTCAAACAGTTGAGTGTACTACATTATTGCCTGCTAAATTTTCCACATTTTGAACATGTTAATTTGGATGTAAAGCGTTTTGGCTCTGTATTTGTGATATTGTACATGTATGTCTCAGTTGTATAGTAGTTTCGGTCCATTTAACCAGCTTTGGCTGCTGCAATCATACAGCTGTGAAGATTAGCTTTTTTTTTTTTTTTTCCTGCTTTTTCATTTTCTGTATTTAATATCCCGAAGTACTGTAGAGAAAGTCACTTCTTCCCACAAATTTTTTTTTTTTTTTTTTGTAATATACTGAAGGACTGAAAATTGTGTTTTTAATGAGCGAGCATTCTGGAAATATACTCTGTGTTTTCACCATTCAAAGTGCTGTTTAGTAGTTGAAACTTAAAAAAAAATATATTTAATATCTCATTTAATAAAGTGACCAAAACAATTTTCCAGGTTTTGTGTTATGTTTGATAATCTAGGTGTTGGTTAAATTGAACAAGGTTATTGTCCTTGAAAAATTTGACCCAAAACTGAATGTTTAATACTGCACACAAGAATTATCATCCTTGCACATGACATAATCTACACAAAGCTCAACATACATTCAGGACAGAAACAAAGGAATGCATAAAGGGCAATGGTTTACGTAGTATTACACAGTCCAAATATACGTCAAAGACTTAAAGGAACAGTGCTAGCACCATAACCAGAACAGTGCACTGTAGTGGTTACGGTGTCAGGTGTGCCCTGGTGTTTTTCATGCAGATGAAGGGTGCTTGTAATCATTACAAATACTGTCTTTGTTAACTCTTGGGGGAAATGAATTTCTTTATCTTACCCATTTGTTAAAGGAACACTATAGTCACCTAAACAACTTTAGCTTAATGAAGCAGTTTTAGTATATAGATCATGCGCTCAGGTTTCACTGCTCAATTCACGGCCATTTAGGAGTTAAATCACTTTTGTTTCTGTTTATGCAGTCCTAGCTACACCTCCCCTGGCTTTGATTGACACAGCCTGCATTAAAAAAAAAACTGGTTTCACTTTCAATCAGATGTAATTTACCTTAAAACAACTGTATCTCTTTCTCTGTAAATTAAACTTTAATCACATACAGGCGGCTCTTGCGGGGTCTAGCAAGCTATTAACATAGCAGGGGATAAGCAAATCTAACTATAGTGTCCCTTTAAGAACCGTCAATATCTTGCCCTTCTGATGAGAATAGCTCATGATCTGAGAATTTACCACGTTGCTCTTACCTTTTTAGAATATGATTCTTATAGAGCATCAGATTTTATAGTTGTGTGGTATAATAGCCTCCTGCTTATTGCCTTTAGATACCATTTTTGTAATTCCTCTCCATATCGCGCAGAGGAGTCAATCGAGTCTGAGTTTGGTGCAGCAACTTGAAATTCGTCCAGACACAGCCTTGTTCTTTGTTTTGCTTTGGTTCCATAGTCTATCCATCCTTCTCTTCAGTAATATTAAAAATTATGGTTGATTCTGGGTTTAAAATAGGTCTACAGATTGTTCTGTGCTCAATGCATTCCTTACTTATAACCTAAAAAAAGACTACCTTGACTACAACGGAGTATTATCAAGAAAAGAGTAAATTATGAAACAAAGGTAACTAAACCTAAATATAGGAAACTATATACAAAACCAAATATATAAAAAAAATCAAATCTAAATTAGAGAATTAATGTTTTCAAAATAGTTCAGGATATTTAACAAACCCTAGTGGTTACTGAGAATGCCTCTTTAAATTCTCATTGCATATGGCCCAGACACTTTAAAAGTTCTTAATGACCTTTTCTTCAGTCCTTAAAATTTGATTTCATACATATAATAATTTAGTGCCCTCCACTAATATTAGCACCCTTGGTAAGTACAAGAAGTAGAGAATAAAATAAATTTAAAATTGTCTATTGTTTAACATTCTGATCTTTTGTTGAAATATACAATACAGAGATTCATTGCTCTCATACATATCAAACAATTGCAAATGCAAGTTTAAAAAAAAAAAAAAATCTTATGTATAATTAATGGCACGCCTATGAATTCATACGAGAAAAATATATTTAATGTACATTCCCATTGATATTTTATCATTTTTAGTACACCTGGATGACTGTGAACAGGAAATTGTTCAACCAGGACTTACTGTTTCAGAGGGTATAAATGAGTCTTCCTTAGTTACTGCAAATATGAAAGATAGGATAAGCACTAAGAAATCAATTAATATAAACGGGGGAAAAGCTGCAAACACTGAATGTAAGGAATACTCCCAACACCTTACTGACGAGAAGCAAAACTATACAAAACAGGTTGTGCTCAGTACTGTGTGTAATAAGTCCAATAAAACAATTCTTTGGAAGATAGTGACTTGGAATCGTCCAGGATTCAGTTGGTGATGAACTTATGTAACAAAACAGAAAATAACTCCCTTAAAGGGACACTCCAGGTACCCAGACCACATCAGCTAATTGAAGTGGTCTGCGTGCTGTGTCCATTTTGCACTTAGTGCTGCAATGCAAAACACTGCAGTTACAGAGAAGTCTGCCCTCTGTGGCTGTCTAACAGACAGCCACTAGAGGGCTTCCGTAATCGAAACCGACCTTTGGTCGGTTATCTGACACTGAACGTCCTCAGGGACCTACAAAGTAAGAATTTCCCCATAGGAAAGCACTGAATAATGCTTTCCTATTGGGAGGTCTAATGCACGTGCGGCCATTGCCATGCATGAGCATTAGGTCTCCCCCGCCGACTGAGTGGAGCCTGACCCAAGGGACATTGGTACTGGATTCAGGTAAGAAGCTGTGAAGGGGTTTTAACCCTTTCAGCGACAATGGATGGAGGTCACTCCAGGACTCTCTAGTGCCCGAAAGATGAGTGTTTTCCTGGCACTGGAGAGTCCCTTTAAGGACACAAGCATTTTTGCTCTTTGGTTTTAACTGCAATTTGCATCTCTCTCATTTATTGAACCAACACATAATATATACAGTTTTTTAGAGGACAAAAAGGGGCTTTAATTTGATTTCCCATATACATATATAAATTCTCATTAATTATTTTTTTTAAATGAAGAAACGTGTGCATAATATGTTCATCTTAGGAAAAGTAATTCAATATAAATTCATTTGTGTCTTGATTTATAGAGTACATAATATGTATATGATTTAAACTTATTTTGAAAGTTACAGGTCACAAAATACAAGGACTAAAATAAAATTAAAATTTGAAACAATTTTAGATGTTGGTATGTTTGTTTTGTAAGTTTAGTAGCCATCACAAAAAACAAAATTGCCACACAAAAGTATATATTTAAAGTTGACATCACAGGTAATTTACCAAAGGTTACACAAAAAAATAAAAAGTATGTGCCAAAGTGATGTACAACAGCTCAAAACACCTGTGAGGTTTCACCTTCACACATACAATAATACACAACAGGTGGAGCTGTAAAATACTCCCTTCTCTTCAAAATTACAGCCAACAAAGCTGAAACAGAGGGAGATACAATAGTGTAAATCTGATAAAACAGAATTAAATACTATCTCTTTAAATAGCACACTCACAAAGGCAGAGCCATAAGATAACCTGGCTCTGGTCTGGATATCGATAGGATCCTTAAGGGGAGATCCAAGCCCCACTCCAGATGATAGGAAGGGTATTCAGGAACAATAAATACTTAATTTATAAAAGTATAATTTATTCCAAAGATAAAAAACAAAAGCATATAAAAAAAGTCCAATAGTCACCAAAATACGTTTCACCGGATAGGCTTCCTCAGTTGGTGTATGTTGAATATCAAAAGTCCTTTTGCTCCTTTTATGTAGTCCATTAATTGCCAAATTCGCGGTATTTTGCCCGTGGAACGCATTCTGCGTTCCACCCAATGTAGGTCATTCATTTCCTGTTCATCTAAGTCATGTGATCGGGCGCATCGCCTGTGGAACGCATATGCGTTCCATTGAGCCCACACATCCGCTTCCTGCTATCAGAAACCGGCGGACATGGCGTTCCACCAACAGAACTTTAAAGAGGAACTGCACCTAAATAGGTGCCTACACAATTGAAGTCTATATAAAGGACTGGAGAATAAGTATAAATAAAGAAGAGAGTGCCAAATTTATGAATTGCCACTCTAATGTATATGAAGGAAAAATATTTGAGCAACAGAAATATATAATCACAATATTTGCAAAGAATATTCATTTAGAAAATGTATACACACTCTTATAAATAACATATGAAGGGAATATAGTGATAAAGATCATATCTACCGAATAAAATATACATATAAGTGTACATATGATAAAGTACATGTAAAAATTATTAAAATTTAAAAATCATATAGAAAGGTGTCATAAAAAATGGCATAATTCAAAATCCTGCTTCAAACCATTTGGAATAAGCATATTAAAATTATAAATGCATCTCATTTCTTCTTCACCAATTTTTTTATTAAAATCTCCACCTCTTCAGTTTTTAGGTACTGATTTAATTGCACAAAAAAATTAAGTCTTTAGGATTGCTATTGTGACACATTTTATAATGTTGTGAAACACTGTTTCTCTAAACCTTTTTTTATATTGCGTACATGTTCAGCAATTCTAACATGTAAACACCTAATTGTTCTACCAACGTAAATTAAATTACAAGGACATTTTAGAATGTAAATCACATTTTTAGAAAAACAAGTAAGCTGATCTTTAATGACAAATTCTTTTTTATCTTTATGTAAAGGAGGTGTTGCCGTCGGTTTCCGATCGGCATATGTACATTGTTCGCCGCTTCCCCCTCAGCCCCTCCCCCTGTATCTGTAGTCATACCTCTATACCATTATACCTCACAATATAGGTTGTAAAGATATTTTAACTAAAGAAAATAGAATCCCTAATGTACAAATAGATTTTATACTAGAGGGTATTAATATCATTTTAAAAAATAATTATTTTTGGTTCCTTAATTCCTTTTATCTTCAGAAGAGAGGTACAGCTATGGGTACTAGGTTTGCCCCCAGCTATGCAAATCTATTTATGGCAGACTGGGAATCCACAGCTATTTATGATGCCAATATGCTGAGGGCAAACCTAGTCTCATATTTTACATACATCGATTACCTCTTTTTTTTTTAATCTGGGATGGACCTGAAGATAGCCTAATTTCTTTTATTAATAAACTCAATACTAATGATAGAGGCAAAATTTTAACACATGAATTCAGTAGGGAACAAATTAATTTCCTAGATTTAAATATATTTATAAAATTGCACCGAATTAGAAGATTTTAATGAACAAGCGGAGGTTTTAAAAAATAAATTTATTGAAAAAAATTATTCAGAGACAGATTTAATAGTATTAATAAGACAAAGCAAGAAAATAGGGATGAGCTTCTAACTTCTAAAAAACAATCTACACCTCTCCCTATTATTTTTAATTATAACAAAAAAAAGTGGCGAAATTAAAAAAATTATTAAAAAACATTGGAATATTTTAAAACATGACAAACTCAGCCAAATTATTTCCAAAAAGCCTAATATAGTTTTTAGAGGAGCTCCTAATTTTACATCTATTCTAACCACCAATTTTACTAAAACTATCCCACCCAAAAATACAACTTCTTTTTTTCCCCAAGTTAAAGGTTTCCACAAATCATGTATTGTATGTAGAACTACTGATCCCACAATACCGTCCAAGATAACACAATTTACCTCAAATAGGACTAAAATTACTTATAATATTAGAGAATTTATAAGCTGCAATACGAAAAATGTTATTTATCTGCATGAGTGCCCATGTGGCTTTAAATATGTTGGAATGACCACAAGGTGCTTAAAAACTAGACTAAGCGAACATTGCAGAAACATTAAAAATGGATACTTAAACCATTCCGTATCCAAACATTTTATTAATCATAATAAAAATCCAAAAATGCTTAAATGTATGGGAATAAAGAAGTGTGTTTTGCCTTGGAGAGGTGGAGATATTAAGAATGTCCTAGGAAAAGTAGAAATGGAATTGGTCTAAAACTCCAGATCCTTACTCCCTATGGCTTAAATGCAGACTTTGATCTGCACCATTTTTTATAATCATTTTTATATCCATTCATTATTTCTTATCATTATTTCTAATCTATTTTTTATATCTATTTTTATCTTTTATATTTGTTTTTATGTACTCCTATATCTTCCATTTTCCATTTTTACATAATGTAATGTCATTACTTTTTTTTTTTTCCCCCATACAAAGGACACTCTTTTTACCTTCATCTTATATATGGTTTTACACAGTTTTTTTGTCCCTCTATATATCATACTTTTATGTATGTCTCTCAGATATATGTGTACATGTATATGTAATTATCCTTTTTATTCATTTATTTTATTTTATTTCTCTTAAGTATAGATAGTGGGTTTCTCCCCTCACCCCTAACATCCAGTGTTGCCGTCGGTTTCTGATCGGCATATGTACATTGTTCGCCGCTTCCCCCCCAGCCCCTCCCCCTGTATCTGTAGTCATACCGACTACTGGTGCGAGCTAGCTACTCGTCACACTCCCTAACTCCGCCCCCCTCTTGCCGGCTAATGCCGACCGGCGCAACTACACCACCCATGGAGCTTTGCTCCAAAAAATATGCCGTCACGTGACAGAATTATTTTTATTAATATTCCACTAACCAGACCTCGGTTTCAATATATAATTATACTATTTAGCTCATAATTGCTCAATTTATTCAACTATATTTACTATTGCTTGTTTTATAAGTTTTTACAAATCTCTCTCTATTGGCTGATTCAAGTTTTGGCGCCAATTTGAAAATGACATATGCTTATATAAACTCTCTGTGCCAGGAATAATGTCATGTACCATTTTGATAAAGCCTTAATTTGTGAAACGCGTTAATGGTTTTAATTGTGCATTTTTAATAATAAAAGTATTTTGGTTATCCCTTTTTAAAGGACAAATTTTCATTTTATTAGATTTTATATGCACTTTTTTTTTAATGTAAATTCCTTTCCTGGCACCCTCTGTATCCTGACTCAAGAAATCCAAGGTGGGGATCTTTTCACCTATGCTGTATTGATAGAGCAGTATCTCCTGCTCTACTCTTGTGAGTATATTTTATAAAAATCAAAGTTGGGTAAGGTGCAGTGTGATCTAGGTGCAGGCAAGCCACTGTAAAAGGTCACTCAACCCTTAATCATGCAATATAAAACTAAAACAGTACAGGGCGCCAAAATCACCAGATGAATAAATAAAGATAAAAAAGGATATGTATAATGCAGTTTATTGAAAAAACTAAAATAATGAATGCACCAACAATGTGCAAATAATAGAACAAAATATATATAAAAAGCCTTAATAGGCAAATGGACCCATAGGTAAAGCAGCTCAGAATAACAAAAAGTGCAAATGTTAAAGTGCAGACTGTGCAATAAAGTGAGAAAGTGCAACTCTCATCACTCTAAAAATGATATTCACCAGTAATGTCCACAAACAATCTCATAAGCAACAATTTTGTAAAGCAGAAACTGCTGATACCAAAACTGGAGGGTCCCACTGTGGCTCAACGCGTTTCGTCTCTCGGACTTCGTCAGGAGCTTCAGTTGAGAGGTGGTGAATATCATTTTTAGAGTGATGAGAGTTGCACTTTCTCACTTTATTGCACAGTCTGCACTTTAACATTTGCACTTTTTGTTATTCTGAGCTGCTTTACCTATGGGTCCATTTGCCTATTAAGGCTTTTTATATATATTTTGTTCTATTATTTGCACATTGTTGGTGCATTCATTATTTTAGTTTTTTCAATAAACTGCATTATACATATCCTTTTTTATCTTTATTTATTCATCTGGTGATTTTGGCGCCCTGTACTGTTTTAGTATATTTTATATACATTTTATTTTCTTATTCCTACAAACTGAGAGCACTATTGCTGTCTTTTATTCTTTCGGAGCACTGATTCTACCAAGCCGGAGCGACAGACGTACTTCTCCCATATATCCTTTAGCGGGGATTATACCGCTACACGCCCATCATCCTAGAGCTGGTTAATAGCTCTCATAAATGTGAGTGTATTATTTTCTTTTATCTATTTTACTTTGGATTTTACAATATTACGCTATCGGCTGCCTGTCGCATTCTCCCTTTTTGTCTCCACATATACAGAAATTCTACCAATCCGGACGGATCAACTCCTGAGGACTGTACCATTTCCTTACTCTGAATATTAGTGAGACTTTCTTTTAGACTTTTTTTACCTCCATTATATTTTATCAATTGGACTGATTTTATTCTGTCTACCTACTTTGTACCTTGTCTTTTATTCTGTTGTTTTAAGTGAGAATTTCCCTCACCATCTTCTATATATATATATATATATATATATATATATATATATATATATAGATTTGTATTTTTTGTCTGGACTCCATTACTCTTAGTCTATTATTATAGACCTTTTTAGCGCAGCCCTTACCTCCATTTTGTCTTTTTATTGTACTAAGGGTTTTGAGGGATCCCCTTATCTGGGTTGCTGTTTTACATACTAGTTAATTAGCGCTGACACTTCCCCCTCTCTTGTTTTTAAAGGAGGTGATATGCCTTTTGATATTATTAGTTTCCCTACAAGCGAGACAGGATCCACACCCATAAAATCCTTTATTTTTGTTTAAAAAGTGTTCTGTAGGTTGTGTTTTAAAACTACTTTTCACTAAAATCTGTTTAAGGTTTCTACATCCTCGGTAGACCATTTTTGGATGGTGAGGTAGAATTTTATTTAATACAGGATCTTCTTTTAAAATTGGCCAATATGTTTTAAAAATTTTATTAATTTTATGGTTGTTATCACTGTGATTGCATATAAAAGGTATGTTAGACATATTTCTATCGGAGCATTTATTGTATGTCTTTTTGTTTTTATAGCATATAAGGTCTTTTCTATCAATCTTCTTAACTTCTTCGATACAATTTTGTAGTGTTCCAGTATCATATCCCTTTTCTGTAAACTGTTCTTTGATTTTTTTTCTGATTGGGAAATGTAGTCAACCTCTTGCGTACAACTCCTCTGTATCTGTAAAAATTGGCTCTTAGGTACATTTTTTAGCCATGGTGGATAATGGCAACTACTCATTTCAATGTAGCTATTCACATCAACATCTTTGAAGTGGTTCCTAGTGTTGATAGTAGAATTTGAAATAAAAACTTCCAAATCTAAAAAATTAATTTGGTTAGTACTATAAGTGGATGTCAGGATAATCCCCCAATTGTTGTTATTCAATTTGTTTAAAAATTATTTAAGACTTTCTTCTCCTCCTTTCCAAATTAAAAATATATCATCAATGTATCAATGATAGGACACCAAATTCGTAGCCGCCGTATGCGGAAACACTATCTTGTCCTCCCAGTATGCCATAAAAAGGTTTGCATAACTGGGGGCGAATTTGGTGCCCATAGCTGTTCCTGTAATTTGCATAAATCTTTGAACCAAACAAAATTATTTTCTAAAATTAATAAAATTCCTTCAAGTATAAAATCTATTTGTGATTGTTTAAAACCTGATTTCTCTAAAAAATATTGCACTGCTTGTATGCCAATATGATGAGGTATGATACTGTATAAAGAGCTAACATTGCAGGTTACAAGTAAATATTCATCTTGCCATTCTATTTCTTTAAGAATTTGTAATATATGTATAGTGTCTTTAAGGTAGGAAGGGATTTTCACTACCAAAGGTTGTAACAAGACATCGATATACTCTTAGACCCTAGACGAAACAGAATCTATGCCAGCAATGAAAGGTCTTCCTGGTGGGCTTGTTTTGTTCTTATGCACTTTTGGCAGATAATAAAAAAACTGAATTATGGGATATTTTATGGATAAATATTCTGCTTCTTTTTCTTTTAAAATCTTCCTTTCTAATCCTTTATTTATATACGTCCTGAACTTAGTTTGTATGTTAAGACTTGGATTATTGGATAATTTCCTATTAGTGCTAGTATCCAAAAGGATTCTTTCTACCTCTTTGATATAATCTTCTTTATTTAAAATCACCACACCTCCTCCTTTATCAGCTGGCTTAATTATATGTTGATCATTATTTAGTGCTTTTAGGGCCTTCTGTTCTCTTATTGAAATTTTTTTTTGAAATTTATTTGTTTTCTTAATTTTTTTGTACGTCTCTCATGATCATTTTTTCGAAAGTTTTCATTTCATTAGAAACCATAAATTTAGGATAAAATTGCGATCTTTGTTTAAGCTCTGTTTGTATATATTCATTTAGTATCTCAGTTGGGTTTAGATCCTTGTTAAAAAATAATTTTTTAAGTGACAAATTTCTTATAAATCTATTTAAATCTATAAAAAAATTAAATTCATTAAAATCTGTAGTGGGAGCGAATTTAAGACCTTTATTTAAAACTTGAATATGATCCTGTTCTAATTGTGACCCTGTAAGGTTAAAAATGCCATCTAAGTTTAATTCCTTCCTCTTTTCTCTTTCTTCGGTAGTTCGTCTTCGTTTATTCCTCCTTCTTCTAGGGATCTTCTTCGTTTGCCCGGAGATTCCCATGTCTGATGATGTAACAATCGTTTCTGATGGTGTTGGGTTAGGCCCTGTTGAAAAAAAGGATACATCGAGGGATTCTCCAAACATTGGAATCTGTTATTGACCATAGTTTCTTTTGGAAAAGGTATTCTCTCATCATTACCTCGAGATCTTGGGTTCTGTATTCTTTCAACAGGTCTCCGATATTGGTTGGCGTTTCTTACCACTTCACTATAACTTCTATTAGTGTTGGTTGCCTCACTAAAATTTCTTTTGATGATATAGTTTCGATGGGATGGTCTATTGTCCCTATCTTTCTGAATTGGCCATTTCATCGCCAATCTCTAAATATTGGAGTAAAATTGTGGTTTTCTTTTTTTGGCATATACACATATGACAAGGTTTTTGTAATGTGTATTTCATTAAACTGGTGTGGTGTGTGCCATCCCTATACAGAACCCCATGTTGTGTACAGCTACATCTGCTGAGTATAACGATACCCCCATGTAATGGCACCCCCAGGCATAAAAGGGTTAAACCACCGTTAAGTAGATCTTCCCTTCCAGAGACACAGGCACAGCTACTGCAGAACACCAATCCGCCGAACAGGAAACCATACGAATGCTGTAAACAGCCGAATAGGAAAAAACATACAAATAGGTTTACACTCCTAGCAGTCAAACTGGAACAGCATACAGTAAATCCCCCCAAGAATGAGACAAAGCTCCGTGTTGAGGGTCAAGCAGTGAACAGTCAGAGCTGTGGGTTTATTGTGCTTATGTACACATTCTTACACATTAGTACCACCCACAGGGTTTTGGAACACAACCAATAAACACATACAATACACTCAGACACTCCCACACAAAATCCTCCCCTCTGCCTGTGATTCAATTACCTTACACAATGGGTAATGTAATTATAACAAGCAGATAAATAAAATGTTTCCACATTATTCATAACTTGAAAAGTCTGCATCACATTCACATAAAACTTACATTTTCAGAATCGGCATACTCCAAATACAAACATATGTCAAAATCATCCAAATTGGTCCAGTGGTTCACAAGATAGATCGTAGTCCTTTGTGACCAAAGGAAGCATGGCTTTTCTGTCCAAAACCAGTTCCACAGAGTCTTCTATCCTGGAGATAATTGGGAAGTAATCCAATTATCTCAAAGGACAGAGGCAAAACTCCATTGAACACATGGCAGCAAAAGACAATAAAACACATAAAAACATATAACTGTGCAGCCATTGCACAAAACAGGTACATTCAATATATCCCCAGATAGCTCAGATCTGAACGCACATTATTAATGAATGGCGCTCAGAACACACACATACAGTTCAATTGCCATGGAGCCAAAGTCTTTCCCATAGTCTTTCATTATACGAATGGGCTCCATGGCATAGCTATCTGGGGTATCACCGCTCAAACAGGGCAAGCACCAAATGACCCGGCTTTCATGTCTTTGCAGGGGAAAATCAAGCCTTTTAACATGGGGCCATAATCCAAAGGCAACAGACGAGCAACCAGGCTTCTCCAATGCAATGTGGCGAGATTGGTCTCGTCACACCCCATTTTATGCCTTTGGAACTATTCTATTAAGTGACAAGGTTATTTCAGTGTCTCTAGTTAGAATTTTCATAGATGAATTTGATGGGCCTATGTCTCATTTGGGGGTATTAAATCAGTTGGACTGTTCAAATAACAGCACAAAGGGCTACCATTTGAGAAAGTAGACACTCCAGGGTATCTTATATGGTGCATATTGTGCCTTAATTTGTCACAATTGTTTCACCAATGTGTCAGTTTGTGGTGAGGAAAAAAAAATAATTGCATTTTTTACATGCATGTAAAATGTTTGCTGGGTATTTCTTACACTTGATATGTACCACTCTCATAAAATACCCCAATTGATGCTCAGTTACATCTTCTGAGTAAAACGATATGCCCAATGTACGACCTAGACACTATTTTGTGACATTATAGTGCTGTAAAAGAGACTTAACAAGTTCAGGTTTTTAAGTGTTATTTTTCATAGATGGTGTTGATAGGTCTGTGTTCCATTTTGGAGCACTTTAGCAGGCAACATATTCTAACTACACCATAAAGGCATACCATTTCCTG